TAGCTGGAGATGGACTTGACTAGGTGACTAGTCAAATCGATCCACTGTTCTCTGTAACTTCTTTCCCTCCCTCTTAGCTTTTAAAGGTTGTCTCCATCAAGTCTGCTCATGGTGCTTGGAGTTGCAACCACAAGATTCCCCTCAGCGCACTGAGGTTGCGTGACAGAAATATGAAAAGAACCCAGCTCTTCGATGACATTGCTGAGTCTGCTTCAGTTCTGGTAGCACTACCTCCATACTTTGTAGTTCATAAAATGAATGAACCTCTTTGATTTAAGCCACTTTCATTCAAGAGATAGTTGTACATGCTAGAACTAACAGCTGGCTCACCTTTTAGGAATATTGGTGTTCCTCAAGGCTTTGTTCTAGACCCTCTTCTTACACAACACCCTTTCCCTGGGTGATGGGATCCACTCTTGGCTTTTAATATCTACTCTGAAGACTCCTGATGTGTTTCCAGCCCAGACTCTTCCTGGAATTCTTAAACATGTAATAGATATCTCCACTTGGAGGTTTCGCTGGCATCTCAAACTCAACATGTCCAAGCCTGAAGTGGGGCTCTACTCCCCGGAGCCTGTGTATCGCCAGACTCTCCCATCTCAATAAATGGCACTGCCAACTACTCAGTTGTTTAAGTTAGAAACCAAGGAGTCATCGTTGCCTCTTCACCCCAACATCTGTTGTATCCCACTTCTGCTCCCTCAGTTAAGGCCACCATTGTGCCTCATTTGACCACCAAATTGGTTTCCCTGCCCTAACCGGTTTGGCTCAGTGGATAAAGTGATGGCCTGCAGACTGAAGGGTCCCAGGTCGATTCTGGTCAAGGGCATGTACCTTGGCTGCGGGCACATCCCCAGTACGGAGTGTGCAGGAGGCAGCTGATTGATGTTTCTCTCTCATCATGTTTCTGATCCCTCTCTCTTCTTCTCTGTAAAAAATCAATAAAATACATTTTTTTAAAATTGGTTCCCCTGCCTGTCTTGGCCCCTCCAATTGTGTCTCTACATTGCAGTCAAAATGACCGTTCTAATATGCAAAACTAGTCAGACCACTCCTCTGATTAAAACTTGTCTGCCTCATTAGGAGAGAAATCCTGCCACACAATCCCACTGCGTCTGGTTTGCAAGCCTCATTGTGCTTTTGTTGAATGTATTGTTTCCCCCACTAGTCTCTAAGCTCTATGGAGCACAGGAACTGATTCTCCACCTCACAAAAGTGCCTGGCACACAGCAGATAATAACGTGGAGTAGAATGAATGGATGAGTTTATATCAATGTTTGTAAACTATGGGTTGTGATCCATCAGTGGATCAGGACATCAATCTATGTGATTTATAATCAACTATCATTTTAAGTAAAAGGGAAAAAAATAGATGATAATAGTATGTAACCAGGGTATGATTTCATACAACTTACTATAAAGTGTAATATATACTTTTTTATATTTTTGTAATATTTCTTTTTTTTAAATTGATTTCGGAGTGGAAGGGGGAGGGAGAGAGAGATAGGAACATTAATGATGAGAATCATTGATTGGCTGACTCCTGCACACCCCACACTGGGGATCAAGCCCACAACCCGTGCATGTGCCCTGAGGGGGAATCCAACACTGACCTCCTGGTTCATAGATTTATGCTCATACCGGCTGGGCTAAAATATATTTCTTTTGTATTTCAGTAAAATAAAATGAAAGCCACTGGTCTATACGCTTTTTTTTCAATAATGAGAAAAAGCAGCCTTAGGGGGGGAAAAATCTGAACTCCCAGGAACTGAAAGTGACTCCTGCCCTTGGGGATTTGAACTTTTATAGCAAAGCTTGAAATTCAAGGAGGAAAATGCCTCCTTTAGAGTTTTTGGTTTCTGTGAGCCAACTAGAGAAGCTTAAACTCATCATAGATTCTGCCTGGCAACTACAGTGACAGGCCAATTAAGCCTAGGAGTGCTGTTTAATTCTATATCCTCTAAAAGTATATCTTAATGTGTATTTTATGTCTTTGAGAATTTAACTGGCTGCTTCTCCAGCCTTATCTCTTTAAGAGCAGAGTGCCTCAGCAAAGGAGGCCTTGTCATTCTGTTTCCATAGCAATGAAAGAAACAAACCTTCCCCAATCATCTACTAAGGACAAACCTCACAACTCAAAAGGGCCAAGTCAAGAAAGTCTGAATACAGGGGTGACTTTCTCCCCTAGTTTGACTTTCGTTGCAATACTGAAAGACAAACTGTTTGTCTTTAGAAGGGACAATCAGCTCGTGCCAGCTCAACCTTGGTAAAAGCCTGTGACTGGATTCCCTGGAAGTCTGTCAGTGCCACACATACTCCGAATTTTCTGCTTTGGCATTTCAATCACGTGGAATGATCACTAAAGTCTGAAGTTCTGGAACCTCGGGATTTGACTTAAAATGAATTTTGATTTTGTGCGGATGGGAAACAGTTTCTCTCTAACATTGTGATGTCATTAAGACTCTTGACTTAGGAAGAAACCCTCTGGGAAAAACAAATCTTTGGGCAGACCAAGGTAAGTTCTTCAGAAAAGATGTTTTATATAACTATTTTCTTCTGATTAATACCAGTGACCTTTCTGAAGGCTCAGCTGGCTCACTGATGACCACCAGGTGGCACTTTCAGTCCACTTAGCCTCAGGTAAAACCATCAGGGAGAGATGCAAGAAAAGAATGGGGAGGAAAAAAATCCTAAATCACACATGAATGCACACACACAAACACACACACACACACACACACCCTTACTAGTATTCTTAGAGCCATACAGTGCAACGTCAAGCCACTGTGTAGGAGATCTAGCTATGCTGATAAGGAACTATCTACTACATATCCTCTCATGCAAAAAGAGGGTATGTAACAGAGGGTGTAAAGTATGCTCTCATTTAGATAAATGTTATATATATTTTTGGGAGGACACTAAAAATACTAACAGTGGTACCTCTTGGAAAAGTACTGGAAGTGGAAGGTTGGTGTTTAGTTGGTATGCACAGTTATTGAAATAGCCACACGGGTTGTATGTATACATTGTCCAAGACCCCCAAATATCCTCCTTGCCACCTGGGTTGCCCCAACTCCTCCCTGGGCACCCCCAAACTTCCTCATGATTCAGTAACTAAGAGGTTACTGTAGCCTGGCATGGGGGCAGGAGTGGGGTCCTTCCGGACCCTGTTCTAGCCCTGTAACAATGTCTATTCTGATTGTCTTACCGGTTGTTATATATTTCAAGTATCAACCCCATGGGTGTTTGGAGAGAAAGGACTTTACTTTTTGAGCAAAAGAATGCACACCATGGCATTGTTTATAACAGGAAACAAAATGCTCATCAATACAAAACTGGTTAAAAATGTAAGGGGGGAGGGTTGGGTAGGGAACAAAACAAAATGAAAGGGAAAAAACAAAAATTAATTTTAAAAATAGAAAAACTATAAATGAATACACTCATAAAACATAAATTAAGCCATAATATACAAACAAATCACAGACTTGCTTTCAAGATTTTCTTTAAGTGTAATTTAAAAATTATATATTTACTTTAAATTTGCTTTAAAATAATCTGATGTTGCAGGAATGGCCTGGGTATAGATGAACAGATTAGTCACAAATTGCTAACTGTTGAATCTTGTGACAGATGAATTCATTTTTTTTCTCTACTTTTGAACATTTAAAAATTTCTCCACAGTAATCAAGTTTTAAAATGACATATGTATACTTACTGATATTCAAAGAACCTCATTATTTAAAAAAGAACATAAGAATTTGTTCCCATTTACAAATAATTATATAAATCTGCTTCTCTAGACTAGAGAGAATTCTAGAAGACACTAACCAAAATATTTTCAATGGTCCTTCCTAGATGTTAGCATTTTGGATAAATTTTACTTCCATCAGATTTTAATTTTCTTTACAATGAGTTTAATTTGACACACACACACACACACACACACACACACACACACAAATAAACCTATCTCCTCCCCTTCTTCCCCCCAAAATATTTTAAAAGAAAAGCTTCTGTAAACAAAATACCACGGGGGTTCATATTATTCCTAAACACAGTGGACAGCCTTTGAGGTGAGGTGTGCAAGGCCACGCACTGCTGACACCCCCATTCCCCGAGCAGAGGGGCCTCCGGGAAGAGACCAGGCTCTGAGCCTGAGGACAGGGCAGGAAAAGCTCATTTCTAAGGCCCCACGGCTGATAAACGGAGCCTTTGTGCAGTCAGGCCCACCTGACTCCAAAGCCCAGGGAGAATTTTAGTAAACAATGTTGTGGAGGGGAGAAAAGTCATAATCCTCGCATTCTAGCCCAATTTCTTTTCCTTCTCCTTCTCCTCCTCCTTCTTCTTCTTTTTTTTTTTTTTTTTTTTTTTTTTTTTTTTTTTTTTTTTTTTTTTTTTTTTTTTAGTATATTCTTTTCTCATCCTTTTCTGTGTAGGTACATACTTCTACATAATTGTACCATTGTACACATACCATGTCCTACCTTTGTTCCTGGGCGTGTTTCCTCAGGTTTCTATAGGCTTTCAAGGGGTCAGTCAAAATCTAGTAAAACTCCATTGAGTAGTTGTACTGTAAAATAAGTATGCATTTCGGGTTTGGGGTTTTTGTGAGTTTGTTTTGTGAGCTGTTTTTTGTTTTGTTGTGTTTCGTTTTGTGTGGGTTTTTTTGCCACAATTTACCTTACCGTCGCCCACTCCACGCCTTCTCAGCCGTCCTATCACTCTCCGCACGGCGCTCTCCCCGGATATCCGGCCTCGGAGCAGCCAGGGGACGCAGGGGACGCAGGGGACGCAGGGGACGCAGGGGACGCAGGGGACGCAGGGGACGCAGGGGACGCAGGGGACGTATGCGCGGGAAAAACTTGCGTGCGCCTTAGAGAGACTTGAGCGCGCCGAGACCTGCGCCTGCGCAAATCCGCAAGTCCGCGCCCCATCGACAGTCCCAGGAGGCGGGGCCGGGGCAGCTGCTCCTCGAAGCACCTGGCCCGCGGGAGGGGCTCCTCCGCTGGGCGCCGCTCACAGCCGCCGCTGCGGCCTCCCGCCTCCCAAATCGGGTGCGGGGGCGTCCGCAGGCTCAGTAAGCGGCGCCGCCGGTCGGCTGGCCCCTTTAAGTCCTGATTTGCAATATAATGTTGTCATGGCCCTTACATGTTCACAGTTACACCTGACAATCTGTTTCTCCTCGTTGCGCCGGTTCACTAACCCAAATAGTTATCCAATTCCCATTGCGGACAAGTTGCCTGGCCAGGACCCAGGGCGGCACGGAGAGGGCCCCGGGCCAGAGGCGCAGGCAGGGAGTGGCGGCGGGAAGGCAGCACTTCCGAAGGGCGACCCTCAGGATGGGCCCTTTCCTCGGGGGGAAGGGGAGGAGGGGTAGGAGGGGAGGAGGGGCCGGAGGAGGGATAATAAACAAGTGTAATCATGTTTATCTGATAGTTGTTTTTCACGCAAGTTTTCATAGTGGGGAGATTTTTGTTGTTATATATATATATCATATATATCATATATATAACATATATATTATATCATATATATCATATATATAACATATATATTATATAACATATATAAATAAAACCTATATAATATATATTTTTTTATTTTATTTTTTATTATTTTTTTAAACAGGGCCAAAAAGGGATAGTTTTCACTGTGACCCAGGCAGGTGATCAGGAATGAGTAGCTGGGAGATCCAGTTTAATCTGAATAACAGAGCTCATTTTCCACACCAAGTTCTGTGTGGAAAATCCCTGTGCAGGTCTTGCCATAGGGATTTCTCTTTACGTCAGTAAGAGTTAATGTGACCTGATGAAAGAGCAAAGGCTTAGGAGTCAGGTAGACTATGTTTACTCAGTAACTTGCTACCTCCACGAGCTCTCTAAGCCTCAATATCCTCATCTGTAAACGGGTAGTGAAAACCAGCCAGAGTGGTTCAGTGGTTGAGTGCTGACCTATGAACCTGGAGGTCATAGCTCAATTCCCCGTCAGGACACATGCCCAGATTGTGGGCTCTATCCTCTGTGTATGGTGTGCAGGAGGCAGCCAATCAAAAATTCCCCCTCATCATTGGTGTTTCTATCTCTTTCCTTCTCCCTTCCTCTGTGGAATCAATAAAAATATATTTAAAAAGAAAAAAATAATCGATCACTTCCTATGAACCTGGCTCACACAGTAAACACTCAGTTATAGCAAATCTTAAACTGCTTTCAAGTCAAGCCGGAGATGGCAAGGAAAGAGCTGTGATTCTATAGTTAAGACCCTGAACCAGATCAACAGCCTCCAGAATCTTCCATCCGTGCTTTGGGCCTTCCCTGGGTTCATCACAATTTATCTCTATGCACTGTTGCTTTGACTGAATGGTGTGACTCTGCTCTTCTCCTCCCATTTCAGCAAGGGCCTCCTGACCTAGCAGCTAAGACTGCCCCAGACCTCCTACCATGTACCCCAACCCTCTCATCTACTGCACCTGCTGGGACCCCTGGAACTTGGGGCCACGGAAGCTAATCAAGACCCCTCAGCCATCAAGAAAGACCTGCACACAGAAGACCAAGTAAGGATTGCCTGGGATGGTCGAGGCTGGGAGCTTGGGGTCCATTTGCAGCCTTCTTTCTCTCACAAGATTTCCAAAACAATTTGGTAGGGAAGATCCCGAGGGGGCCAGAAAGCCTAGCTCTGCGCGGCTTTCCCTGCCAGCCCGTTAGCTGTACGTTGCTCTTGCCAGTCCTGCCTAGGCGTAGTGTCACTGAAAGAAGGAATCTCAGAGTCGGTTGACCAGAGAGAGGAGGGCTTGCAACCAAAAGGCCCCATGGCAGCTGCCCCTCCATACGGGACCACGGGCTTTGGGAACTGGGGGACAAACTGTGCTGCCAACCGGGGACCCCTGAGGACAGTGAGCAAGTGCCAAGGCGTTCAGCCGGAGGCTGCCAAAGATCATCTGTTGTCAGCCCATATTTCCTAATTCAGGGTCACTGTGGAGGGGTACTTCCTCTGGGAGTACTTAAACAGATTTCTGAATTTCCAGTTCTCTCTTTTTGCTGTCTGTTTTTACCTTTCAGGCTAGCTCCTCTTCCTCCGGCTTCAAAAAAACAAAATTATGTCCAACCACCAACAAAACCTGCTGTCCCCCCAAGGTAAGTATCTGCATGTGTGTGGGGTGGGAATGGTTCGAGGTATGTGAATAAAACAGTCTCCTTCCTTGGCCTTCACACCTTTGCCTGAGACTTGAACTCATTGCTGTCACGAATGTCAGAGGATTGCCAGAATCCACTGTGCTTTCCCTCAAACTTCAGATCTTACAGATAGATTCTGTGGCCCTCTGTGCCCACAGCTTGCAGAATCACCACAAATGAGCTTTCAGCTCAGGTGCCCTAACAACTGTTTCCTACCCTAAAGGGGCACAGTTATTGATGCCTGTTAAAGGCAAAGAGCCTCCCATTGGTGGTGTTTCACCCTTTTTTGGATTACTTTCCTGTGTCTAAGATTGTTTATAAATTGCAACTCTGTTTTTACTTATAAATTTAAAAATTTACCAATATTTTATAAGCTTATAAATATAACTTAATTTTGTCTTTGCGCGAGTCTTTGTATTCTGTTTATTTATTTGGAATATATTTGCTAAGCACTTTTCTAGGTTCAAGAAACAGCAGTGACCACAAGAGAGCCTCTGCTCTCTTGGAGTTGACAGTCATGACTTTATGGATGGCTGGGCAAGTCCCTCTGTAAAGGGGACAGTGGGAGCCACACTGACATCTGGGCCAAGTACTCCTGTCAGAGGGAGCAGCAAGTACAAGGGCTGTGAGGAACTCGCTTGGCACACCTCGCCTTTTCCAGGAAAGCAAAGAGACCAGTGTGGTGGGAATGGAGGACGTGAAGATAGAGTGGTGGGAGATGAGCTCAGAGAAGTAACAGAGGTGATGAATGTGGTTGGCATAATAATGGTTCCTCAAAGACGTCTGTACACTAATCCCTGGAATCTGTGACCATGTTCTGTTATTTGCTGCTTTTGGGCAATTGAGATGACAGATGAAATTATGTTTGCTGAACAGCTGACCGTGACAGATTATCCTGGATTATCTAGCCGGGCCACGTGTAACAATAAAGGTCCTTATATGTGAAAGAGGAAGCCAGAGAAGGAGATGTGGCAATAAAAGCAGAGTTAGGAGTGTGCAACTACTGGCTTTGAAGATGGAGAAAAGTGGGCAAGGGAACGGGTTTTCTTCTAGAGCCTCCAGGAGGAATACAACCCAGCCAGCACCCTGATTTCTACCCAGTGAAGCCCCTTGCAGACGTGACCTTAAAACTGAAAGATAATAAATTGCCATTGTTCAAAGCCACTTAGAGTAGTTTATACAGCAGCAGAAGGAAATTTACACAGTGAAGTTTGCTGGCCACTGTAAGGACTTTGGCTTTTACTATGAAAGGGATGGTGTATCAGTGCTAGACCTGCCATGACAACAACAATAACAAAAGACAGGGCAGCTTAAGCAACAAACACATGTTTTCTCACAGACCTGGAGACTGGAAGACCAAGAGCGAGGTGCTGCAGGCTGGTTTCCTCAGGACTTTCTCCTGGGCTTGCAGTTGGGTGCTTGCTTGCTGCCTCTTCACATGACCTTTCCTTTGTGCGTGTGCCTCCCTAGACTCTCTGTGCATCCTCGTCTCTCTTGTGAGAGCACCATTAAGATCGGATTAGGGCCCACCCTAATGGCCTTATTTTACCTAGATGCCTTATCTCCAAATACAGTCACATTGTGAGATAACTGGGGTTAGGGCTTCAACATATGAATTTGGAGTGGGGAAAGGTAGACACAACTTAGCCCATAACAGCTGGGAAGCCACAGAGAATTCTGAGAAGAGTGACACGATCCAACTTGCGTTTTGAAAAGACTAATCTGGCTACTGCACTGAGAATGAAGACTTACTTCGGTGGCCAAGAGAGGAAGCCTTGGGAGAAACCAAGGGAGATAATGTGCAATTGCAGGGACCCCACCAAGGGATGGTGGTGATTGAACCTTGTTGGAGACAGTAGAGGTGGTAAGAAGTGGTTGAATTCTAGATATATCCTAAAGGTAGAAACCAATAGGCCCTGCTAATGGGATGGTTATAAAGTAGGAAGAAAAAATCAGAAGGAATCAAAGCTGACTTCAGGAGTTCTGTCTAAGCCACGGGAAGGATGGAGTTGCCATTTTCTGTGACTGGGAAGACTGGAGGAGGTGCATATATGTAGGGAATTGGGCTTAGACGGTTTGATATCTCCCTTAATTTCCAAGTGCAATGTCAAGTAAGCAGCTGGGTAAGCAGGTCTGAGAGGTCTGAGTTGCAGGTACACATTTGGTACTTAGAGCCCTGCACCCAGGTGAGATCTTCAAGGCAAGGAGTGGAGACAGCGGTAGGAAGAGGCGGGAGAACTGAGCTCAGAGCACTCCTATTGGGAGGAGGGAGAGATGAGAGGATCGGAAAAGGGCACCAAGAAGGAGTGGCTAGTGAGGCAGATGAAGAATCATCTACCTGGTGTTCTGGAAGCAAAACAACAAAAATGTTTCAAGAAAGAGGGTCTGATTGTGTTAAAAACCGTTGCTAGTCAATTAAGATGAGGGCTGAGCAGTTCTCTTGGACTTAGTAGCCTGCATGTTGGTGACAACGAAGGGAATCGTCTCAGTAGAGTGATGGTGGCAAAGCCTGAAGGGAATTGGATCCATTCATAATAAAGAGTCCACGAATACCTATGTCTGAAATGTGTCCTTGTTGCCTGCCTTCTGTGTGCTGGCACCCTGTAGGCATGATCCCACTTGTGGATCTTATCTAACTTCCATTTCAACAGGAAAGCTCAAGGCCTCAGCTAACCAGTGCTTCTTGTTGGGAGAGACCTCACTAAGACCCCCAGCTCCACTCTGACCACCAACATTAGCCCTGGCCAATATTGTCCTCCTCTGGCTTTGCAATATATGAGGAACACTTTATGGGTATTTAAAAAATATTTAATATTTTAAATATTTAATACTAAATATTTTAATATTTTGTTTTTTTAATATTTAAAATTGTTTTTCTTGAGAACATTATAATGTTACATTCAGTAAACACCAATTATTTGTGGGTATTTTAAAATTTTTTATCAAAGCCCTATTATAATAATTGTATTTACAACTTTCCAGTAAGACCATTCAAGGCAACTTATCCCCTGAAACATCTAAAACCCATCTTCTAAAACCAATTCAAAGAACATACACTGGGGATTGTGGCTTCTGCTCGGGCCCTGGCCAGCACTTGGGAAGGGGAATGGAGCAGCCACTCAGGAGGGCTGCTGCTGCTGGCCTCACTCTGGGGAAGAGGCCCAGGCAGATGTTGACATGACCTCCAAATGGGGACAAAGAAACTGCTCAGCAGTCAACTTTTAACCTAGGCCTCTGTCCTCAAACATGCCACCTTGACTCCCTGAATTACGTCCCCTTTGTGAATCCTATAATTTTCTTGCAAATATATAATTTTTTTTTGTTAAAAGTTTTTTTTGTGTTAAAAGTTTTCAATTCTTTTTTTTTTCTTTTAAAAAAAATATATTTTATTGATTTTTCACAGAGAGAGGGATAGAGAGTTAGAAACATCGATGAGAGAGAATCATCGACCAGCTGCCTCTTGCACACCCCCTACTGGGGATGTGCCCACAACCCAGGTACATACCCTTGACCAAAATCGAACGTAGGATCTTTTAGTCCGGAGGCTGATGCTCTATCCATTGAGCCAAACCTGTTTCGGCAACGTTTATTATTTCTTATTTTATTAATAGTAGCTATACTAACAGGTGTGAGATGATAGCTTATTGTAGTTTTGATTTGAATTTCCCTGATGACTAGTGAAATTGAGATTCTTTTCATACATCTGTTGGCCATTTGTATGTCTTCTTGGGAAAAGTATCTTTTCAGATCATCTACCCATTTTTAAATTAGATTGTTTTATTGTTGTTGTTGAATTGAATGAGTTCTTTATATATTTTGGATATTAGCCCCTTATATGTGGTATTCTTTGCAAATATCTTCTCCCATTTGGTTGGCTGCATTTTTGTTTGGTTGATGGTTCTTTTTCTGGGCAGAAGTTTTTTAGTTTGATGCAATCCCATTCGTTTGTTTTTTGCTTTTACTTCCCTTGCGTTTGGGATCAAGTTTACAAAAGCCTCTCTGAGACCAAAGTCCATAAGTTTGGTACTTTTACCCCCATGTATTTAATTGTTTAAAGTCTTAAATTTAAGTCTTTAATTAATTTTTGAGGTAACTTTGTGTATGGTGTCAAGTAGCAGTCTAGCTTCATTCTTTTGTATGTGCTTTCCAATTTTCCCAGCACCATTTATTGAAGAGACTTTTAGAGGAGTTTCTTTAAGCCTCAGCTTCCTCAGGATTCAAGTTGAAATAACAAAGCTTGGGTAATTTTCTCCCTAGTTGTACATAATTTTTCAGTTTCTTTATGTATTTACACAAACTGTGTGCTATGAGCCTCATCACAATCCTGTGAAGTGGTCAGAACATTCATGTTAAACCCATTTTTAGGAAGAGGAAATGAGCTGCAGAAAGGTGAAGTACTTTGCCCTATATTTCCAGAGAGTAAAAAAGTCACTCAGATCTGACACCTAATCCAGAGCTTCTTACTTACAACTCCTCATTCCACACCCAGATCTCTCTCCCCACAGACACGAGACCTGAACAGTCCATCCCTCCTTTAAAGCAGTCATTTGATTTCTCAAGTGTACAGATTCAGGGAAGGGGTAGAAACAAATGTCAGTTTTTTTAAATGTATATTTCAGGTGTTCTCTTTCCCTTTCGATGCAAACAAGCATGATTTCCGCCCTAGTTTAATAGTGGAAGAAGACCTTATGATGCTTTCTGGATTGGAGTGGATTTCTGTGGGTCAGGAGTCAGATAATGACACGGAGCCACAATTTTCCAATTTTTACATTGACATCTGGTATTAAATATCTGCAGTTTGCTCTACTGCGTCACATTTCATTCCTTGGTGACAAATCATGAACTTTTGCAATTCTCCAGCTGAGGCGTTTTTGCTGAACTGCCTGGAAGCCAGAACATGACCCATGTGTTCCAAAATGCTCATTGCAAAATATTTGGAGGCCCTGGCTGGGCAAATCTGT